CCCTACTGGATATGTGCCCACAACCAAGGTACATGCCCTTGACCAGAATCGAACCTGGGACCCTTGAGTCCGCAGGCCGAAGCTCTATCTACTGAGCCAAACCGGTCAGGGCACAAAATATATATTTTAATTGATTTCAGAGAGGAAGGGAGAGGGAGCGAGAGATAGAAACATCACCGATGAGAGAGAATCATGGATCGGCTGCCTCCTGCACGCCCGTCCATTGGGGATCGAGTTCGCAACCCGGGCATGTGCCCTTGCCAGGGATCAAATCTGGGACCCTTCAGTCCGCAGGCCGATGCTCCATCCCCTGAGCCAAACCAGCTATGGCTCTCATGGAATCTTTTCTATTTTTGTTTACCTTTCAGCAATTTGACTGTTATGTGTCTAGATATGGATTTCTTTGTGTTTTTCCTACTTGGAATTCATTGAACTTCTTGGATCTGTAGATTAATGCTTGTCATCAGATGTAGAACATTTTCAGCCATTGTCTTTTAACATATTTTTTTCTCCCACTTTCTCATTTTCCTCTCCTTCTGGAACTCCCATTACAGATATGATGGTATCCCACAGGTCTCTGGGGGCGCTGATCATTTTCTGTTGATTTTTTTTTCTATTCTCCAAACTTAATAATTCCTATTGACATGTCTTTGAGTTTACTGTTCTTTCCTCCACCATGTCAGCTCTGATCCTGAGACCATCTAATGACTATTTACTTCAATTATTGTATTTTCCACTTTAGAATTTCTCCTTGGCTCTTTTTATGGCTTTTTTTTTTTTCCTATTTAGATTCTCTATTGATTGAGTCATTGTCATCATAGTTTTCTTTAGTTTTTGACATAGTTTCCTTTGCTTCTTTAAACACATTTGTAACAGCTGCTTTGAAATCTCTGCCAAGTTCAACATCTGGACCCATTCAGAGTTAGTTTCTGTTGACTGCTTCTCCCCATGCCGCCCCCCCCCCATGCCCCCTGGTTATGGGTCACACTTTGCTATCTTGTATTTTTGTTGTTGTGGAAAACTGGAAAATCTAGTTAACATACTGGGACAACTTTGGATTTTGATTTATTTTTCTGAAAGTTGGTTTATTTTTTAAATTCTCGTTCCTTTCTGTGATTTAAATTTCAGACTCTTTCCCCCTCTGTGGTATGTAGCTGCTCAGAGTTTAGTCTTGTGTTTTTTTAATCTGGCTCCGTAGGGGCAGCCACTATGTATAGCTGAGGAGCAGCCATTGATTTGGAAAGAAGTTCGCTCAAACACTTCCAGCCCGCGAGGCTCCTGTCTTACGCGACTTGAAATGTGTGTGGATTGTCAAGTGCCTTCAGAGGGTGTCAGCTGTCACATCTGCTCTGCTGTTGACTTTGTGCAGACTCTCGGGTCTTCCCTGCACGGACACACGGTTCCTCGGTTGTGGAAGGATTTGCGGAGAGCATATCTAGCACTTCATCTGCTCTCTCCTTTCCAGAATCGCCCAGTTCAATTTATGGCTGTTCAACCACTCATTCCAGCGGGGTCTGCAATCCCAGGCTAGCAAAGCACATGCTTTCCTCATTCTTTTCCTATGCCATTTGCCACTTTTAGCTAAAAAGAAAAAAAGAAAAAGAAAAAAAAAAGCTGTGAGATTTCTCCCCACCCCCAAGTCAAGGATGCTCTCTGACTGCAGGCTGCTGGCTGTCCTAGCCATTCCTTGTCAGCCCTGCCTTGGTAAGCTCACATTCTTGAGATTGAGCTCGGGGCCTGGATGGGAGAGGAGCCACCCCAAGCAATAAAAGGCTGCAGACTCCCACTGTTCTTGAATGAAGCTTTAACAGGTTCCCAAGAATAGACACTTACGAATTTGTCTGCCTTTGGGTGGTTTCCAGAGTCCTGAAATAGTTGGTTCTTTCCAGTTTTGTCCAGAGTTCTGCTTGGTTTTGGTGGAGAAACTTCACCCAGCTCTTCACACCACCTTCAGCCCCACTCTTTTGAAATATTCTTAAGCCATTTATGTAATATATTTTTATTGATTTCAGAGAGGAAGGGAGAGGGGGAGGGAGAGAGAAACATCGATGAGAGAGAAACATCGATCGGCTGCCTCCTGCACACCCCCTACTGGGGTTCAAGCCCGCAACCCGGGCATATACTCTGACTGGGAATCGAACCCTTGACCTCTTGGTCCATAGGTCAATGATATTTTATTCAGATACTGTAAAATGGATTATTTGTAGTTATTCTCTTCAACGTAATAAAATGAAAAATAAGTTTTTATGCTGGACTTTGATGCTGTGATATTTCTTGAGGCAGCGGTTATAATAGTTTTATGCCAACAATGGACACCTGGTGATCTCATTCAGGTCAAAAACTCCATTGTGCTACCTCGGTGAAGAGGAAAAAAAGCCTACCTAGAAGAAATCTGGGAAGCAGACAATCACTAAAATATAACATAGAAATGAAAATCGGCGTATGTGGTCTCCATTAATCTTGCCGAATGAAGACAATAAAGGGTTTTTCTAAGTAGCAATTCGTGTATTGACACAAAGCAATGATACAGATGCTAAGTTTTAGAATAAATGCTTTTCCATTTCAAAGACAGGCTGTATCTAAAGAAGAGATAGAGGCCACTTCAGTCTAGCAGTGGGTTAGATTATAGTTGGCCCTCAGGGAGAACACTTTCAAGAAACGTTTTCTTATCTTCTATAGTAGTCTCAGGGCATTTTACTAGGGTCAGATCAACCATTTGGTTAGATAACCAATAAACACCTGGTAAGTAACTTATTTCGAATGACATTGAAAGAAACTTTAGGGCATCATTTAATTGCACACAAAGCACCAGGTAAAATGTCAAAACTGTGATTTTTTTTTTTGAAGTATGTCTTTCACATTTTAAAATTTCTATTGGGAATTAGTTGCCAAGTCTGACACCCAGACATAACTATTTAAGTCCTATCCGTGTCCGTGGTGTTACTCCGATGCCGGGTGTTTCAGAGCATTTTATTTAAAAGCTCCCAAATAATATGTAATCGTCTTTCCTAATTAACAGGCCTTCTTAATTGCTTGTTTGCTATTACTTCTATTAGACAAATGCACAGTTAATAGACTTTTTTTTTTTTCAGTGAGCTTTCTGGTATTGTTAATTTTATTCTTTCTTGTGATTGTTCGTTATAACCTGCCACACATTCTTATGAATATATAGTAAGCTCCGTACGATTGGTTTTCATTTTTTTATTTCACCAAGGTAGTCCTACCCATTTTCTGAAAGATCATCTACTTCCTAAGAGCTCCTTTCTCTATGTTAGACATAACAAACATGTACATAATGTGTTCATAATTGATTCTGTGATAAAACTGCATAATTAAAAAGGCACTTATATTTAGAATTTACATTTAGAATATTGTGTAGTTTAATGAGCTGAAAAATAAATAATTGTTTTCTGCCATGTCTTGTTGAATCTATGGCTATTTCACTTAATCACTTTAGGTACATGTTATGGTGTTTTTATAAATGATTTCTTATTTTAAAAATATATTTTTATTGATTTCAGAGAGGAACAGAGAGGGAGAGAGAGATAAACATCAATGGTGACAGAGAATCATTCATCCATCGGCTGCCTCCTGCACGCCCCCTACTGGGGGTAGAGTCTGCAACTTGGGCATGTGCACTGACTGTGAATTGAACCATAACCTCCTGGTTCATAGGTCGATACTCAAGCACTGAGCCATGCCAGCTGGGCTGTGGATGATTTTTTTAAACATCAAACCACCAGATCTAAATATTTGAGTAAATAACCCAAGTGGCACGGCTTATGAGTGACAGGGTTATGGCTTAAATGTATTTCTACTATCAGAGTATGAACCTTCCACCGCCAATCTAGAGCGAGCGAATGAGCGAGGGACACGCTGTTACGCAGAACGGAACCTGGCCCTGAAATATTGTCCTCTTGTCGCTGTGTGCTCTCCCCTACCTGCTGTAGCTTCCATTAGAGCTGTCTTCGTGGCACCGGAAAAAGCCAGTGCTTGAAAAATACCAAACCTTGTTATTGACTCTGTGGTCACTGCCCTGGCATGGAGTGGGTGGCTTCCTTCCCATCCCCATTTAAATTTCAGATGAGGTCAGTGTGCATCAGCAGAGAATGATGGTCGAGGGAGCCTCCTGCTTTCTCTGTAGAAACGGCACTCTCGTGTTATTTTTATGCTTCGTGTAAGTAATTATTGCGTTGGCAACAGGGAAGTCATTTTCGGGATATTCTATAAGTAGCTGCAAAGTTGTAAGGTATTGTAGGTGTAGCATAAAAGGAAACCATGCAGACAGCCGTGAAGTTAGGATTATTCTAGGCACACTGAGGAAAGAGAGTCCGCAAACTGATGTTTACTCCTTGGGGAGTCGGGTGCTGACAGGGAAACCAGCTGGGAACAGTAAGATCCCACTAATATTCTAAAAAGAATGCATTGAAACGCTATATCAGTAATACCACACTAATACCAAGATGACTTATCAATGAATATTTTTGAAGGTGTCAGTAATGTTAAATCTATTAAGGATAAAATTAATTATAGACAATTTTATTAAAAAGAAACATAATACTTGCCCGGCCAGTGTGGCTCAGTAGTTGAGTGTCGGCCTAGGAACCAGGAGGTCACGGTTCGATTCCTGGTCAGGGCGCATGCCGGGGGTTGTGGTCTCCATCCCCAGTAGGGGGTGTGCAGGAGGCAGCCGATCCATGCTTCTCTCTCATCACTGATGTTTTTTTCTATCTATCTCTTTCCCTCTCCCTGCCTCTCTGAAATCAATAAAAAACATATTTATAAAAACAGTTCTGGCAGGCTCCTTTAAAGACACCTGCCCAGGTTGGATCATTTGCATACTAGACCTCAACCCCGTGCCTCCGCATTCATATCTATGGGAATAGCTGCAGCTACTGGTGTTATTTGGTTGAACTGTTGCGGTATTGATTCATTTTATTTGCTCAACCTAACTCATGTAACCAGGATGCGATTTATCTTAATTTTGGTTTTGGTTGTAGAGGTTGGCGATTTGAAGGAGCTGCAGACACTAGACATTTCTACCAATCGTTTGCTAGCTTTACCCGAGAGGCTTCACCTGTGCCTTTCTCTGCAGTACCTCACCGTGGACCGAAACCGGCTGTGGTGTGTGCCGCGCCACCTCTGCCAGCTGCCCAGCCTCAATGAGCTCTCCATGGCCGGAAACCGGCTTGCATTTTTGCCGCTTGGTAAGTGAGCGCGTGGATATGGGAAAGCAAAGAGGCCAGAGAGTAAGACAGAACACCTCTGGCTCCTTGACTGGGAAGGAGGAGTTAGTTTTCTTCATTCTGTTTGTCTTGAAGATTCCTCTCTCAGTCCATCTTTGCCATGAAGAAGGCAGGATCCTGCCCAGGTAATAAAGTTCATTTCAGGGTTTGAGATTAAAAGAAAAAAAAAAAATCTGTGCAAAAAATGTGATTAGGGACAAAACATGTGAAATATGAGGTGATTTACTCTGAGAAAGGATTGACATATATAGGGTGTCCCAAAAAATGTCTACACACTTTGAATAATTGTGAAGGCAGTGTTTATCAAAATACATTTCATGTTCAAAATTGAGCCATCAGCGGTTAAAGTGTGTGTGCATTTTTGGGACACTCTGTATGCATATGTACGCATATGTAGTATATTTTACATGTAGATAACCATGCAATTGACAGGGGTTTTCGAGCAACATGAAAGGGTGGCCACTAGTACAGATATATCTGTCAGATACGGGCTTCTTTGTAGAAACATTTGTATCGGGGGTTCTAATGATTAGCATTGCCAGGTAAGCAGACTAGACATTTTTAAAGACTCAGCTAGAAATGTCACTCTGAACCTAGCCGGTTTGGCTCAGTGGATAGAGCATCGGCCCATGGACTGAAGGGTCTCGGGTTCGATACCGGTCAAGGGCATGTACCTTGGTTGTAGGCTTGATCCCAGGCCAGGGGGCCTGCGGGAGACAACCAGTTAATGTGTCTCTCTCACATCGATGTTTCTCTTTCTCTATCTCCCCCCTCCCTTCCACTCTCTCTCAAAATCAATGGAAAAATATCCTCAGGTGTAAAACTATCAAACACAAGAGATATTATTCTGGCTAATACAGAACATTATCCACTGCAGACTTACATAGTTGGCCCATTCTGACATACTATACTAGTATGTAAACAAACATTGGCCTTTAATGAAACAATACATTTATTTTCACTGAGAATTGAATTATTTTAACTGGTAAGAAACGAAAGTGCCACTTAAGAAAATTTCAGTGTGAAACCCCCCAGTCTGTGCTGGACAGTCAGCTTAGCCTCCTTCCCTAGGATCTTCTCTGAAGGAATTCCTGGGATTGATTGCAATCCCTGCCCTAATCTGGAAGACAGAGCTAGCTCACAGTGATCTGGGCTTTTAAAGGAAGCTGGACACTTTGTTCATCACTCGACTCTCTGGCAATGCCTCCTGACGTCTCACATGCTGGGCACAGTGCCAGTCCTCGGGGCATCCACAGCACCCATGCAGCCTGCTCGGTAGTACCATTTCCTAGTTATAGGGGAGCGCCCTGCTTCTGTGCAGTGATCTGTTGACGGAGGTTGTCTAACTCACAGTGAAGCAGGCCGCCCCACCTTTAAATTGCAGCTCTGCCACTGAATAGCTGTGTGAGCTGGAGCTTTGAAAGGCTTTTTCGTTTGTATAAGGCTCAGTAACAGGGCAATATTAATACCTACTTCATACTGCTCTTGAGAATTACATAAGATTCTTTTAAAACACTATTGCTCGCAAATACTGCATAAGCACGCAGTCAATATAAACTATCTTTATTGTTTCCCAAGACTAAGCAAGGGTTGGAGCTGTGTGTCTTCACTTTTGTGCCCCAAGAACCTAGCACAGTGTTGAGCCCATTGCTTGTAATAATGTCTTTGTTACCTGAACTGTGGGACAGAATTCGATTTAGAGATACTGACACCTGCATATTTAAACCAACAACAAAGGCACCCTTCAGTCATTCAAATTCATTAAAATCCACTTATTGTAATTTAACAGTTGTTGATTCACTCTGTATAAAGCATCTGATTAAATTACAATTCACTGTGAAATCTTACTTTGCAAAAGTTGAATAGATCGGAAAGAATATGATTATGTAAAAGATTTTGTGGAGCGTGTGAGTATTTGAAGAAGCTAGCACTTAAAAAATTCATTATTCTGAAAAAGTGGTTGAGAAGTTCTCTTTGTAAAAAGCCTCATGTAGGTAATTTATTTTTTAGTTTTTAATATGTTTTTATTGATTTCAGAGAGAGGAGAGGAGAAGGAGAGAGAGAAACATCAATGATGAGAGAGAATCATTAATCGGCTGCCTCCTGCACACCCCACACTGGGGATGGAACCCAAAACATGGGCATGTGCCCTGGACCTCCTGGTTCATGGGTCAACGCTCAACCACTGAGCCACACTGACTGGGCTCATGTAGGTAATTTATATTAGCTTTAAAGTATTTTCCGAATAGACTCTAAATTACTCTAAATTCATTACAAAGATACCCACATTTTATAGGCATTAAAAATGTTATTATGACTAATTATATATCCAATTGATCAAACTCTGATTATTGGTATAATATCGATAGAGCATTCTGAACAACCTATTTTGGTCTATTGCTTTCCTGGTGCCGCCCCTCTTGGCCTGTCATTTTCTTGAAGAGAATCCATCATTCATCTTTGATAAAAGAAATGAGTTTCACCCTGGTCAGGTCTCGGTAAACAGATCCTGTTGGTCCTGGCCCGGGCTGCGGTGCCGTGCTTGCTTTTACACTGCAGCTCAACAGCAAGCACCCACACACACAGGACCTTTTTGTTCCCTCGGCCGCCATGTGGGCCGCATATGCCGGAGCCTTGAAGTTCAAGGAAAAAGAGTTGGAGTCGGTGCAAGACCGCTAGCTTTTGCTAATTTGCAAGTCACAATACTTTGATCTGGGCGTCTGGAAGGAAAAAAGGAAAACACTTTAGACACTTTAAAAAGCCACATGAAGAAGTTCTTTGTGGCTCTCGCATCTGTGCAGATGTTCACTTCCTTGCTTTATGAAGTTCACGTCCTGAGCATTTTCGCACAGGAACTAGGAAGGGTATTATTGCATGACATATTTTATTGCAAGATATTGGTCCATTAAAATTAACAGAAGGAAGAAAACACACTAGCTCATTAGCTGGTGGGTCACTGGTACCTTCCAAAGGTAATCGTTGCCCGGCCAGTGCGGCTCAGTGATTGACCTATGAACCAGGAGGTCACAGTTTGATTCCCAGTCAGGACACATGCCCAGCTTGTGGGCTCCATCCCCAGTGATTCGCTCTCATCATCGATGTTTCTCTCTCTCTCTCCCTCTTCCTTCCTCTCTGAAATCATTTCTTAAAAAAAAGATTCACAAAGTTAGTTACTGAGTGGAAATTTTCTCTTTTCAGAATAGAAGAAATAGCTCAAAGCGTTTCCCTGCAGAAAGCACTCACACGTCAGCCTCAATATGATTAGAAAGGCCACTCCGTGTGCTTGAGGTTCTGCCGGCGGACAGCTCTCCGGCTGCACGCGCTCCTGAGGTTGTCACAGCGCTGCTCGTACAGCCCGTGACCTTGCTGGGTGTTAGGTGTCGCTGCCTCGCCAGCAGGCCGTGCTGTGTCAGCTAACGCAGGAGTGGCCTGGTTCTCTGTAATTCCGCACTCTTTTGTGATTTTTCTCTTTATATCCAGAAGAGAGAGGTAAAAGAAACCAAGATGCATTGAGCGCCCATTAGTATGCAAGGGATCGAGTTGGCATTGTGCGCACTGTTGAACCTTCATAACGAGCCTGCGGCCTGGGTCCTATTCTCTCCATCTCACAGAGGAGGTGGCAGACACGGAGCCTGGCATTTCCCCCAGCAGCACGAAGCAGGCAGAAGGTGGAAAGCCAGGGTTCAGACCCAGTTCTGACTCCAAAGCCCACTTCCTCGTGTCAGTTCAGTACTGCTTTTTCATCCTCTATATGAGATTGTGTTACTTGGAAAGTTTTAATATCTGTATTAAAAACTCACAGCCATGTGGTCTACTGGCTAACCTCTAATAGACTTTAGCACAGTCGATTCCTGTTTTCTTTCAGCTTCAGTAGAAAATAGTTCAGCTCTGGCCAGTGGTGTTCAGTGGTTAGAGTGTCAGGCTATGCCAGTGATGGCGAACCTTTTGAGCTCGGCGTGTCAGCATTTTGAAAAACCCTAACTTAACTCTGGTGCTGTGTCACATAGAGAAATTTTTTGATATTTGCAACCATAGTAAAACAAATTTATATTTTTGATATTTATTTCATATATTTAAATGCCATTTAACAAAGAAAAATCAACAAAAAAATGAGTTCGCGTGTCACCTCTGACACACGTGTCATAGGTTCGCCATCACTGGGCTATGCACTGAAGGGTCTTGGGTTTGATTCCTGATCAAGGGCACATACCTGGGTTGCAGGTTTGCTCCCCGCCCTCGATTGGGGTGGGTGGGGGAGGCAGTCATGTCTCTCTCTCTCTCTCTCTTTTTCCCTCCCTTCGTCCCTCCCTCCCTCTCTTCTCTCTCTAAAAATGGATGGAAAAAATATCCTTGAGTGAGGATTAACAACAACAGCAGAAAAAAATACATTAAAAAAAGAAAATAGTTCATTCCATTACGAGCCTACTGTATAAAATAACATCCCCAGCCGAAGCGGCACAGAGAGAACTCTCTGGAACTGAAAGCCTGCGATACGATCTAAGCCAGCTTGCATTTTAAACCATCGACCCCTCATTGTTTCCTCTACACCCAGGATAGGAACGAAGACTCAGGATGTCAGAAGCAGCCAGTGCCAGCTTTTATGTAGCTTTGTGCTGGGGTCTTTGCACGCTGCCTCCTCCCATTGCACGCGCTCTCCCTTTCGTGTAGCTCCGAGGAGAGAGGCGCCTCCTCTGCCACGTCCCATTTTGTGTCCTTGGCTCAAGTGGATGAATCACCCTCTCCCGAGGCCGTTGCCTCCCACCCTCTTCTGTGCAGTTCAAGTCCAGAAGAGCGCCAGTACCTTTTGCTGATGCCAAAGAGAATTCTCTCTCTGTCTGTCTCTCTCTCTCTCTCTCTCTCTCTCTCTGTCTCTCTCTCTTTAAAATGTATTTTTATTGACTTCAGAGAGGAAGGGAGAGGGAGGGAGAGAGATAGAAACATCAATGATGAGAGAGAGTCATCGATTGGTTGCCTCTTGCACGCACCCTGACCAGTGCCGGGGATTGAGCCTGCAACCGAGGTATGTGCCCTTGACTGGAATCGAACCCGGGACCCTTGAGTCTAAAGGCCCACGCTCGATCCACTGAGTCAAACCAGCTAGGGTGAGAATTCTCTCGTAATTGACCCTCTCCTGGAGGGCACACCTCCAAATATGTCCCTTACTCACAATCACGAGAATAATAATAACTGCCATGTATTGGAGGAGGCTGTGTGCCGAGAATTCTGCTTGGCAATTTAGAAACCCTGTTAGTGATCCCCACTGAATTTAAGAGGCAGCATTATCCCCCCCTTTGTACAGATGGGGACACCGAGGACACACATTTTGTAAATAGAAGGAGAAATCGAACCCTGCTCGTCTGACTCCAAGATGGTGCTCCCGTGATGAGCATCCTACACGCCTCACCGCTAGTCAGCTCAAGCGGAGACTCTTTCCTAAGCCCCTTAGGGACTCTAAAAGCTGAGAGCGTATTTGGATTGTGTCAGTGTCACTTCATTCCATTTTACATTTCATATTATACTAGAGGCCTGGTGCATGCCATTCATGCACTTGGGGTGGGGGGGTTCCTTCAGTCCAGCCTGTGCCCTCTCACAGTCTGGGACCCCTTGGGGGATGTCCAACTGCCGGCTTAGGCCTGCTCCCCACAGTCGGACATCCCCCGAGGGGTCCTTAGCACTGCCGCGGCTTCTGACTGAGCAGCACTCCCCCTGTGGGAGCGCACTGACCACCAGGGGGCGGCTCCTGCATTGAGCATCTGCCCCCTGGTGGTCAGTGTGCATCATCGCAACCAGTCATTCCACCGTTCTGTCAATTTGCATATTAGCCTTTTATTATATAGGATTGGTGCGTGGTTACAGGAGTGACGGTACTTTGCTTTCTGATCCAGATTTAGGTCGATCGCGAGAACTGCAGTACGTGTACGTGGATAACAACGCCCACCTGAAAGGCTTGCCGTCCTACCTGTACAACAAGGTCGTCGGGTGTAATGGGTGAGCGGACGTCCCGTTTCAGCCTGTGGCCCAGCTCTTTGCTGCCTTGGTTTCTGTTGCATTATTTGGTCTTGATCTCACTTAGGGAGAGATGAACTGTTTTGATAATCCTGCTCAATTTTATCTTTGACCTTAATATGCTAAACCTCATACCTTTAGAAGCTAAGCATTTGGGGCAAGCAGGTTAGAGCGTTGTCATTCAAGTTCAGCCAGTCAGCTGGGAGTTCAGACAGGACACAAGTAAAAAATGAATCTCTGCATCTCATTCTAAGCTCAGGATCAGTCACAGACGGGCGGTGTCAGCAGTGACGTAAACGCTGTCCTCCTCAGCCCTCCACTGCAGTGCCACCTCGGATCTGGAACTCTGTAAATTTAGTACAAGTTATAGGGGAGCGCCCTGCCTCCCCCAGAATTGAATTATAACTGCATCAGTCCCTGGACTGATGTTCAAGGAAGTGAACATCTGCACAGATGCGAAAGCCACGAAAAAGGAAATGTATAGTTATCTATACATTTTAATAGCCACTTGGTCTATTTAGAACTCAACGTCTGCAATAGCCCCTCATGCAGATGTTTCATTTAATGGGGACTGATAGGCACTTGTTTTCAGAACCGCAATAACCTTTTCTTCTCAGTCGGGCTTTAGAAAGACGGCTTCAGCCCTCTTGGTGTGGCTCAGTGGGTTGAGCAGTGTCTCATGGACCAAGAGGTCGCTGGTTGCTTTCCCAGTCAGGCCACATGCCCGGGTTGCGGGCTCCTTCCCCAGTAGGAGGTGTGCAGGAGGCAGCGGATCGATGTGTCTCTCATTGATGCCTCTTTCTCTCCTCCCCCACCCCCGCCCTCCCTCTCTCTCTGAAAAATCAATAAAACATATTAAAAAAAAAAAAAAGATAGCTTTAGCTCCTCCCACAATAGTGGGAGGGACCCACCTTAAAGTGCTTCCCGGAGGGGTTTGGGGTTAATATAGGACAACCCAGCTTCCAGAACCTGCTTTTGACTGGCCTCGCTTCCCTCACTTAAGCAGCCAAAGGACGCTTGGAACACCTCTGAGGCCACTTAGCACGGTTGACTCTGCTCTCGTAATCCCCAACACCCTGCCTGACCTGCCTCTCACCATCGGCAGTTCTGGCCAGAGAGGGGGATGGCCATCAGCTTGTGCACAGCTGTCCCCCTGCGGGCATGGCTCCGGGGGATGGACGCCGAGCAGCACGGCCTCCCCTAGGAGAAATCACAGGGCTGTGATCTTCGGAGAGCCCTAGATGAGATCAGCGCCTGTGCAGGCTGATGAAATACCAGCGGGCGGTGACTGCAGAGCCCCTGCGAAGCAGAGGTGATGGAATGTGCGGTGGAGTTGTGTAGCTCAGCGATTTCTACAGCTGGTGTGACAGCTGTGATTCTCCCCAGTCAGTCACTGATCCTGGCGAGGTCCTCCCATCCGCGCGATGGCCCACTTCTCCCGGGGGAGGGAGATGCCCCATCACCGAGATCCAGGGACGGATGCAGGCCAGCCCCGAGGATGAGGCCGTGTTATCGCACCAGGCCAGGCCTTCAGAGACGGCGCTGCGATGGACTTAGGCTGCGCCACGATTGAGAGAGCGGGCCTTCTGCTCCCGTGTTGGATGTGGATGTTGTTGACGGCCAGAACGTTCTGTTTGTTCTGAGCAGGGAGAGATGTTTTAATCCGTGACTTGGTATCTGGTAGCAGAGAAAGTGAATTTTCCGAGGGCTCCAAATCTTGGAGAAAAATAAACAGTAGTGCAAGCTATGCAGATTTTTAGCTCGTAGCCCACATTTTATTGTTATTAATAGTGTGGTAGCATTTTCCTTGGATACTAGTAATAAGAAGATAAAATTATTATTAGAAGGAGAGCACCACACAATCAGCTTTCTAACATTGGTAGTTTGGGAGTGTAGGCAGTCCCACTTAGAAAGGCCCAAAGGCATTTTTAGTCTGTTGGCTTAACTCAGCCTGCATTTGTCACAGGTGCAATTCTGGTGCTTCTATTCCAGAATTGCTCTTTAAAAGGCCCGGCTGGTGTGGCTCAGTAGTTAGCATCAACCTAAGAACCAGGAGGTCACGGTTCGATTCCTGGTCAAGGGCACATGCCTGGGTTGTGGGCTCGATCCCCAGTGTGGGGCGTGCAGGAGGCGGCAATCAATGATTCTCTCTCATCATTGATGTTTCTCTCTCTCTCTCTCCCTCTCCCTTCCTCTCTGAAATCAATAAAATATCCTAAAAAGAAAAAGAAAAGACCTTTTTCTGTCCTGCATCATTTTGTGGGTGTTATTTAGTCTCTGATGGGGTCAAGGGAGGTTGGCCACGGCCAGCAGAAAGGTCCCTAACCCCTGTCATTGCCTCCCTTGCAGCCTGCATCCTATAGACCTGCTGCTCTCTCGTCTTAGCAGAGAAGGCGTTTCATAGATGGATCCTAAAATGGATTTAATTAGCTCTTTCCATCCAGTCACGAAGAGTAGGAACTTCTGCTAAGAGAATTGTCAAAGGGAAATGAGACCTTATGCAAAGCGAGGATCCACTTACTTGCTGTGAGCCTTTGTAGTAGTTTCGGTGAGACCCCTGTCTTTCTCATTATCGGAGACCAGGAGAGCATTAGGGGAAATCTGGTTTTGAGTTTTCTAAACCTTTATTTGTTCCTCTGTGTTATTAAATTCTTCAGGCGGTTCCACGTAGAGTCCGTCTGCCGTTGGGTTAAGAACAGCAGCTGCCAAGGCAATAACACTGTGAAGTAAATGCTCACGAATGATTGGCTTGTCTCATTGTTTTATGGCTTTGCTCGGGGTTCTCATACTACAGTGTGGCTATAAAGTTCGGGAACAAATACTCTTGTACCATGTGTTCTCCATGGCAACAGAACCAATAGAATGAGTGAGGGGGTGGGTGGGGAGGGGGATATTAATTTATTTTAAGAAATTGGCTCTCCCCAGCTGGTTTGGCTCAGTGGATAGAGTGTCGGCCTGTGGACTGAAGGGTCCCGGGTTCGATTCCGGTCAAGGACACTTGCTCGGGTTTTGGTCTCGATCCCCAGTAGGGGGAGTGCAGGAGGCAGCCGATCCATGATTCTCTCGTCATTGATATTTCTATCTCTCTTTCTCCCTCTCCATGGCTCTCTGAAATCAATAAAAATATGTTTAAAAAAAAAGATAAAAAATGAAAAAGAAATGGGCTCATCTGCTTGTGAAGGCTTGGAAGTCTGAAATCTGTAGGCAGCCTGGAGCTGCAGCCCGGGGAAGAGCTGATTAGGCAGCTTGAGGCTGAAGACACTGGAGGCAGAACTCCCTCTTCCTCACGGGACCGCATTCCTTTTCTCTAAGGCAGGGGTCCTCAAACTACGGCCCGCGGGCCACATGCAAATACAAATATTGTATTTGTTCCCGTTTTGTTTTTTTACTTCAAAATAAGAGATGTGCAGTGTGCATAGGAATTTGTTCATAGTTTTTTTTTAAACTATAGTCCGGCCCTCCAACGGTCTGAGGGACAGTGAACTGGCCCCCTGTTTAAAAAGTTTGAGGACCCCTGCTAAGGCCTTCAACTGATTGCATGAGGCTCCCTCACGTCACAGAGATGAATCAGCTTTAGTCAAAGTCTACTGATTTATGCCCGGCTGGCGTGGCTCAGTGGTCGGGTGTCGACCTATGAACTAGGTGGTCATGGTTCAATTCCTGGTCAGGGCACATGCCCGGGTTGCAGTCTTGATCGCCAGTGGGGCATGCAGGAGGCAGCCGATTGATGATTCTCTCTCATCATTGATGGTCCTATCTCCTTCTCCCTTCCTCTGAAATCAATAAAAATATATATATTTAAAAAGAACAACAGACAAAGTCTACTGATTTAAATGTTAATCTCATTTCAAGAAATACCCTCATAGCAACATCTAGAAGGTGTCTGACCAAATATCAGGATACCGTGTGCCTAGCCAAGCTGATAGAGGAATCTACTCACACCGCATATTGTAGTATATCATCAAAAGAACCTTTTATTGTGTTTTTGCCTGTTTCCAGACTTAATGGCCACACGGTGTAATAACATTTTGGAGATGATCCTCTCATCTTCATTTTCTCCATATTAGGAAAGAAACAAGAATTATAAAGTAAAACTTAGAATCATTTCCTCATCTTCACAAGTGGTTCATAAGGGTAATAGCTTGAGAACCAACAGAAATACTAACACATTGTCTTCTAAGATTTGTAAGGGTTTAGGTTTGCATGTAGGGCTCCGATTTATTTTCAGTTAGTTTTTGTATGATACAAGCTACAGTTGAAGTTTCTTTTCTTTTCTTTTCTTTTCTTTGCATATGGGTATACAGTTGTTCCGACAACCTTTGTTTAAGACCCTAACCTTTCTCCACCGTATTGCCTTTGTACCTTTGTTGAAAATGAGTTGTCCACATATGTGTGGGCCTATTTCTGGCTGCTCTATCTGCCCCATTCATCTCTTCGTCCGTTTTGACACCAGTAACACATTGTCTTGATTACCAGCGTTTTACAATAAGTCTTAAAATCCGGTGGTATTTGTCCTCCAAGTGTCTGACTATTCCAGTTGCTTTGCTGTTTAGAAAAAAAATCTATTCTGTAGTGAATTTCATTGAACTCACAGGAGACATTCCTTTATGAAAACTAAACTATAACGTTAGCATTTAGAATAGCCGTTCCCTTTGGAATGTGGGTTTTGCCCATTAGGGGGTCCCAGAGCGGCCTTCTGAGCTCTTTCTGTTGAGCTGAGTGAAGAAATCGGATGGGTGACATCAGCTGATTCTAGGTCACATGTTCTCTCCTCTGAAAAATCTTAAAATCTTCCTTCATTCCCTGGACAGGGCCAGTCACGCCGTCTTCTCTGACTAACATCAGAATAATTGTAATCATTTCATTTTCCAAGGAAAGGGGGTCATCTTGTTAGTTCTCTCTTTTTTAAAAATATATTTTTATTGATTTCAGAGAGGAAAGAAGAGAGAGAGAGAAACATCAATGATGAGAGAGAATTATGGATTGACTTCCTCCTGCACGCCCCCTACTGGGGATCGAGCCCGCAACCCAGGCCTGTGTCCTGACCGGGAATCGAACCATGACCTCCTGGTTCATAGGTCGGTGCTCAACCACTGAGCCACACCAGCCGGGCTGTTTGTTTCTTTAAGTATCTTGATTAACTGGCGAAGAGTAGGTTCTCTGGGAACCTTTCTAGTGGGAGAAATGAGCAAACGAGGGGCCTTCCTTAATGAACCAACGAGCCAAGGGCTTCTTGCCACCCCTGTGCGCGCTCCTTCATGGCCTGTTTCCCGTGGAGGTTGGAGAGGTTGTCCCGGGTGATGTCGGGGGAGCCAAGGTCTGTCCCTTCATTAGAGGAGGAACGTGTGCAGACTTGTAGGTAGCCCAGTGGTCGCAGGCAGGAGGTGGAATGAGGTCAGACTCCGAGTTTGGGTAACCCTGCAGGAACAAGGCCTTCTGTGCCTCCCGGTTATGCGTGGCTACAGGGAGGAGGCTGTGGCTTGGCTTAGTCAGTAGGTTTGGCCAAGAATATTTTCACTGCAAGTTTATGAAAGGCTCCAATAAAGGTATCTTCTACTATTAAAAATCTATTTGCTCTGCAGGGTATTTTTCCACGCCAAAAAGTGCTACTAAACCTCGGTACTAGAACCTAACAGCGCGTCCTTTTTTTCCCTTTTAATTTTGAAAACGTCAATAAACATAAACGTGAAGAGGGTCATAAAATGAGGATAAATAGAGCTCACAGAACATGCTGTGTGGGTCCTGGGAGGGAAAGTTCCTTCAAAGTCTGTCCTCCCTGGAAATGCCTGGACCTCGGCGATGGTTTAGCTGAGTTTCAACTGGCGACTGTAGATTTCTGCGCCAGGTTTTATTTATTTTATTTTTAATTTTTGTTATTTTTTAAAATATATTTTTTATTGATTTCAGAGAGGGAGAGGAGAGAGAGAGGAACATCAATGATGAGAGAGAATCGTTGATCGGCTGCCTCCTGCACGCCCCACACTGGGGATCGAGCCAGCTACCCAGGCGTGTGCCCCGACCGGGAATCAAACCGTGACCTCCTGGTTCCTGGATCGACGCTCACCACTGAGCAACACCGGCCGGCCTGTGCCAGGTTTATGAAGGAACCCGGGAGAGCATCTGCTCGCTTTGCAGAGCATCCTGGCAGTTCAGCGGCGTCTTCAGATGTTCAATGTATATTTTGACGAACACATTTTTATTGGCACGTGTCCCCCTCTCCTCGTTGCTCACCCGGCCGTGCATGCCTGTCTCTCCGCAGCTGTGGGGCTCCCGTCCAAGTTTCCGAGGGGAAGCTGCTGTCCTTTTCATCCGGGCCCCTCACCGTCTTCCTCCCCGCCGAGGTGAAGGCCATCGGGACGGAGCGGGACCACATCCTGCCGCTGCAAGAGCTGGCCATGCGGAGCCTGCATCACATCTACCACCGTTTTCTCAAAGGTACAGGGTCCTCCCTTCCTGCTCCGCCCCCGTCCAGTGAACTGAGGAATTGTGTTTCATGCCGCCTGTTTCGGTGTTCTTTTTATTTATTGTGGAAAAATACACCGAAGTAAAATTTACCATGTAATCCAGTTTTTTAATTTTTATTTTATTTTAATATATTTTTGTTGATGTCAGAGAGGAAGGAAGAGGGAGAGAGAGAAACATCAATGATGAGAGAGAATCATGGACCTGCTGCCTCCTGCACGCCCCCTACTGGGGATCGAGCCTGCAACCCGGGCATGTGCCCGTGAACAGAATCAAACCCGGGACCCTTCAGTCCGCAGGCCAGTGCTCTATCCACTGAGCCAAACAGCTCGGGGCAGTTTTCTTTAAATACAACCTTGGTTTCAGTACTTTTCACTCCCTTTAAATTTTTTGTTTTCCCTTTTTTTTATTTTCAGTAAATATGATTTAAATTGATTGATTCTAAATGCCCGATAGATTTAGGAAGAACTTAATGAAAGCCCATTTTCATCTCCAATCCAGTCCCTTTTTTATTCTCTGTCTCTAATAGAAGTTTACAAACCCTCTCTGGTAAAATCACGCCTTTCTGATCTTCGTTCTTAAAGAATACTTGCTCTTATTCTTTCCTTGCCTCTTCCCCAGGACAGCTTCCGGTTGCTCTTAAAAGAGTAGATGTGGGTTCCATCTTAGTATCAAAAATGTAAAAGCATCTTCATTTCTAAATAATGTTTTTATTCCATGCCTGACAGATAAAACAATTTCCAACAGGCAGTACTTTTAACTAATTGAGCTGTCTTGGTAACAAAGAGAACTATATTTAAAAGCCTGGTACTATAAAGAACTCTGATTTTTTTTATTCATGCATGATTTCCTCTTCTGTTCCAGATCTGAACTTCCTGTCTCCCGTCTCGTTACCCAGAAGCCTCCTGGAGCTGCTGCACTGCCCCCTGGGGCACTGCCACCGGTGTAGCCAGCCCATGTTTACAATCGTCTACCCCAAGCTCTTTCCCTTGAGAGAGACGCCGATGGCCGGGCTGCACCAGGGGTAATCATGCCCACGTGGGCACCAGGGTGTATACCTGGGCGCGGGTGGGTGATCAGGGAGGGGTGGATGCCTCGCACGAAGGTATTGTGAAGTCAGCAGCTATATAGGGGCATAGATTCTGCTAAATGACACATGCACATTTTTAGAATCACAAGAAAACAGTTTTGCTCATATACAGGACAGTGTTATTGCACATATTATTTAGAGTAGCTCATGCTTCGCTGGCATGTTTTTCTGCTATTCCCCTGTTCAAAATGTTTTTCTGCTATTCTCCTGTTCAAAATAGTCTTCAGGCAATAAGGAATTTCGAGAACCAGATAGCTATTATATAATGGGACCAGCCCAGCCCTTCTGTTTAATGGGTGTTGCTAATTGAAAGTGTGTGGCTGACCTGTGTGTGTGTGTGAGAGAGAGAGAGAGAGAGAGAGAGAAAGAGAGAGAGAGAGAGAGAGAGAGAGAGAGAGAGAGAGAGTTTTGAATTTCTAACCCTTCCAAATGGCATTCTCTTGCCACTCTCTGTTTCTTGGCACAATGCCTTGAATTTGCTAAAAATGTTCACTAAGTAAAAAACGCCATACTGGTAGTTTAAAAAAGAATACCAGACAATTAAAAATAGAACATCAAATAAAAAATTCCCCCATTAGCACAACCATAGCATATAGATTTTCTAAATTTAAGATTTTCTAAGTTTGCATTTTTCAAAGTTAAAAAAAAAGTGCTATAATACCTTACTTATTTATCCAGTGTGGTGTTTTGGGTTAGTAAATTTTCCAGATCACTTGTTACCTCTATTCCACGTCAAGAGGTGTTTCCTTTGTAATCATTTCTTTTTCATTTATTTGTTACTGATTTCAGAGAGGAAGGGAAAGGGAGAGGGAGAGAGAAACATCAATGATGAGAGAGAATCATTGATCAGCTGCCTCCTGCACGCCCCCTGCTGGGATCGAGCCTGCAACCCTGACCTCTCCACTGGGAGCCCTGGGGCAAATTACTTAACTTCTCCGAGCTTCACCTTTTCATCAGTAAAATGAGCATCGTAATAATATCTGTTTAATAAGGTCTTTTTGAGGTTTAAGTGAGATGATTCATGTCAAGAGCCCAGGATGGTGCCTGATAATGTAATCAAGACTAAGTAAATATTAACTATTTATTTCTGTAGCTCAGAGACTTTTTCAAAATTAAATTTATTGGGGTGACATTGGTTAATAAGATTTTGTAAGTTTCAAGTGTACAATTCTATCATATACCATCAGTATATTGCATCGTGTGCTCACCACTCAAAATCTAGTCAGACTTTTAAAAAATTTTGTGTATAAGCAAATACTAATATCAGTATCTTTATATGAGTAAGATCATACTAGGAAAATCAACTAATTCATTCAACTGTAGTAAAATTCTAATGCACAGTTTCCTATAGATGGTATTTTCTTACCGAAAATATGAAAATGAAAACAATTCAGTATGGTCAGGATGCACTGTTAACTGATAAAATCCTAAATACCTATTTTAAAAAAAGATAGACTTTCTTTTGTCATGCTAATTAATTGGTGAAAGTAAAGAAGGCCCTTCAAATGAAGTCATTTTTGTGTTGTCTTTACATGAAATTTGGGAAACTCATTCAGTATTTGCAAATTCCATTTACTTCTGCTTATTCTAGAAATCCCGTATGAATAATCTTACATTGTTTCAGAACATAAAATTAATAGTATTCATTTAATGAAATGTGGGTTATCAAGTACATAGGACTTAGACAGTGCCCTCTGGTTGAGCAAAGCCATCGTGCCTGTGTTTACAGCAGAGATAATACGCCAAGCTATAAACATGGCTTTCTGTGGCGAGCTAATGCTGGGTCTGAAATCGAGCGCTTGTGGGTTTCATTCGGGCCACCAACCTTTGCTCCTTCCCATGTTGCCATGGAGATTGTATTAAAAGCATTGACTTCGGTTCCCACCATAGCCTTTAAAGTACTTTTTTGGTAACTGAAAACCAGATACTTGAATCTCAGGACCTTATTGCTCAAAGTAAAATCAATATTTTTAATGTCATACACTCTAAAAGGTCTTGGTAATCTTATTTTTTCAGTTTTCTAATATATTTAGGTCTGTTTGCATTGCTTGTCCTAAAATCATGTATTGTTTTAGCCAAAGTCTACATTAATATGGACATCTGGCATTATTGTGAAAGAACATACTGAATATTCTTCTAAAATACCACGTCCCTTACAAGTGTTAGTTCTAACCTAAATTAGGGCAGCGTGAAATAAAAAGAAATGACTGTAATTTCACATAAATGATAAATACCCAAACCTTTAAATATCTATAGCAGAGAAGAATGAGTGGTATATTGATAACTTTTGATCCTTATAGAGATAGCAGATTTTCACTCCCAAAACTTACTGTTCATTTAGTAAAATGAAAGACATCAACTTAGAGGATTCTTGATCAACATAGCAACGTGATCTGGCTTTTCCCAGGCATGTATGATTCTCACAAGTTCTGTATTTCGCAATCTGAAATCAGGCTACCGAAAGTTTTTCAAGGGTAGTGTATTAGTTTGCTAGAGATACCGCAACAAAATACCACATAACGGTGACTGAAACAACAGAAACCTGTAGTCTCACAGCTCTGAAGGCTGGAGGTCAGAAATCAAGGTGTTGGCAGGATGGGTTCCTTCTGGGGGCTGTGAAGGAAGGACCTGCACACAGAATCTTCCCATGAGACCCAGTTAACATACATGTAAGGAGCAGATACAATATGTCATTAGAGGGTTCTCCCCTAAGTTAGCAGTCCAAGGGCTGGCGGTTTTATCTGATCAACTCTGTCTAATAAAGATTAATTTTCTTTTGGCTTGAATTCCTGTCTGAGTCAAAGATAGGCTTTTTGTTTCTAATGAGGAAGCACATTTGCAATGAAAATACCACGATTTTTGTGGGCTCTGGTATGCGCCACCAACATTGTGATTTGGTTTTTTGTTGTTGTTGTTTGTTTGTTTTTAGAATGATGGCATTCCTGTATTCCAGAAGTGAGCTGAAGTGCTCTTTGTCTTCCTATAAATACGCTCGGATTCTGTAGCAACAAATGTCACGTCTGATGTTCTTTGTAGGGTTTACCTGCACCTCCTTCCTCACTGTACAGTCGATCGCTTAGCTCCAAGGGTCTCCCCTAAAACGGTCACATCTCCAGTGCCAGGGTGTTGGCATTTTGAAGGACCCACCCAACACACATCCCTCCTTAAGGCAGTAGACCTGTTGGTACACTGGTGACCACCAGGGCATGAATGCAGCAGGCACATACAGTGTGCTATTAGATGAGTCTCCCAATAGTAAGTAGCACACAGACTTGGGGTTTCTTTGTAGCACAAACACGACTCCTCCAGGTGGCCCACCCTCCCCCCTTGAGCATGCATCGTAAGGAGTTAATGATCCAAAGCGCACTATGCCTCAGTGAGTAACCCCACATCTCTGTAAGTTTGGATTCTTTTTCTTAGGACTTTTATTTTAAGCAGGTCCTTAAATGTTAAGTCGATACCCAAGTATTTCACTTTCTTTGTGTGATTGTAAATTATCTTACAGTTTTTCATTTCAACTTCTATGCGTTCATTGTTAGTATATGAAAATATGGTTGATTTTTTTTTTTAATTTTGATCTTTCTTGCTTGAAACCGTGCTGAATTTGAGAGGCTAGGAGTGTTTTTGTAGATTCCTTGGCATTTTCTGTGTAGACGGTCATGTCATGCCATCTGAAATTAGGAATAGTTTTATTTCTTCCTCTTTCATCGGTTTGGCTTTTATTTTTCTTGCTTTATTACAGTGGTTAGAACTTCCAGTACTATGTTGACTAAGGTGGTGAACATAGACATCACTACAAAGCACGATATTAGCAAGTCCTTTTTGTAGATTATGTTTATGAAATTGAAAAAGGTCCCCTCTATTTCTAGTTTGCTGGGTTCTTAGCGTGAGTCGGTGTTGTATTCTTTTCAGATGCTTTTCTCTGAGTCCATCGATACCCTACAAATTCTTCTTTGTTAACCTGTTGATACGGTGGATCACATTGGCTTTCAGATATTGAACCCGCCTTCCAGCCCCGGCAGAGTTCCCACTTGATGTCAGATGTTTTTGATTTGCTGAAGTTTCCGTTCCCATTGAGTTCATGTGAGGCTTTATCCTGTGAGACGGGCTCTTTCACCCCCGGGAACGTGCTCGTTTGACCGGCGGGTTAGGAAAGGGCAGAGAACTGTGGTGTTCGATCGTCACGTGCGGAGTCTCTCCGCTGGTCTTGCTGTTACTGATTTCTAGTTTGATTCCACAACAGACAGAGAACATGCACTGTGATTTTTTACTTGCTTTAGACTTAAATGGCTCTTTATTCTCCAACTTCCTGGTGAAAACTCAGGTTACTGGCTTTAGAGCTTTTTTTTCCCCCTAATAAGTGTGGTTAGTGTTAGAAATTTCCCGTTAGTACTGCCTTTGCTGGGAAAAGGACCCTCATACTCTATTTTTCAGATTCTAATTCCCTCTACAATCAATCTCTGTGACTACATTTATAGGGTAAATTCTTTAAAATTCTGTGTTTTAGGCTCTCTGATGTGTGTGTGTGTGTGTGTGTGTGTGTGTGTGTGTGTGCTAGCTAAATTGGTGAGGTTTTCTGTTACATGATTTAAAAAAAAATTTTTTTTTTTATTAATTTCAGAAAGGGAGGGCGAGGGAGAGAGAGATAGAAACATCAGTGAGGAGAGAGAATCATTGATCACCTGCCTCCTACTCGCCCCTTCCTGGGGATTGAGCCCACAACCCAGCCATGTGCCCAGACCAGGAATTCAACCCTGGTTCATAGGTCGATGCTCAACCACTGAGCCATGCCAGCCGGACTGGGCTTCATGATTTTTATAACACATTTGAAACTCCGTCCTCCCATGTTGGTTCTAGTAAGCAGACTTCAGACCGTAGCATGAAGAACACTTGCTGTTAACGGGGGGATGTGATGTCATCTGAACGCTGCTAATAGAAGGAGCACAGACATCCCCACCTGATGCTGGGGCTCAATGTTAAAAGGAAATGGACATTTCTGCTGCAGGCTGTGGGGACCATGCCTAATCCTTTATTTTTAACAAAGAAAGACACCGTCTGTAACGGAAAGAATCCGCGCTTTCATCTCGAACTCACCGCGTCCCTCTCTCCCTTCTTCCCGCCTCCAGGAGGACCACTGTCAGCTTTGTGGCTTACTGCTGCTCCACCCAGTGTCTGCAGACTTTTGACCTACTCAGTTGATAAACACTCAAGAGCCTCAGGAGGGTTGCCAGCCCGACAGCACAGCTGCCTGCGTGTCACACGCTGTCTGAGCGGCGGAGGGACAGGGGCGCCAGCCAGGCCACACAGGCCCTCACAACCTGGCACGTCCGGTGCGGGGGGGACCGCAGAACTCTCTGGAAGTGTTGTGATCGAGCTTCGGAGCTGAAAGGCCTTCGCCCTTCCCCCACGTTGGAATATATCCTGCCCCCAAATTAAGGACCCTTTGTCTCGTGTGTTTTTATTGGTATGCAAGTGTCTCAGACGAAAACGGTTGGGTTTGATGTGCTTCCCCAAATCTAATTGAAAGCAACCTTCAGCTCCCTGAAGAGCTGGGATTTGATAATATTGTCAAGTGAACTTTTGAACACATTCTAACTCAATGATCCTCTTAATGTTCTTTCTTCCCCCTAGAGAGTAATTTCCCCCCAGAGGTTATTCACCATGTTCGTAACAAATTTCAGCAAACTCCACCGCCTCAATGGTATGAATAGTAAGGGGTGTGGGGGGCCCCTGAGTTGGCAGAGAAGTTAGACCCAGTGGAGATTCCGCGGGGTGCCCGTATGCACCCTTTGCAAAGTTATTACCTAGTTTATAATTTCTGCAACATGTTAAGGGACTTTTCTGAGGGATTTTAAAAATAAAAATGTAGACTATAAATAAAAATACACATTATTTTGAAAGACTATTTACAGGAAAATAATCATTGAAATGGTTGCTTTCCTAATAAGATTTTTTTAAAATATCTTTTTTATTGATTTCAGAGTGGAAGGGAGAGGGAGAGAAACAGCAATGATGAGAGAGAGGCATCAATTGGCCACCTCCGGCCTGCCTCCTACTGGGGATGGAGCCCTCAATCTGGGCGTGTGTCCTGACCGGGAATTGAACCGTGACCTGGTTCATAGGTTAACACTCAACCATTGAGCCACACCAGCCAGGCATATATCTTTAAATATTTTAACTATATAGTGTTTTCTCTAAGTTGGGATGGAAAGGGGGAACCAGGAAGGTTTACTTGGTAGGAAAAGTATTTTCAAAAAAATGTCAGCCTTGTCTAAAATTCCGTTTCTGGAACTTTGTTCGCTGCCCTAAATCTGTCTGGCTCGGCGCTAACAGTGCTAAAAATCCTACCTAGTTACTGACAACCGTGTGATCTTTTCACAGTCGCACCCCCCGCCGCCCGGAAAGCAGACTCTCCACGCAGAACGCTGAAGGCAGAGCGTTACATATGTCCCAGCTGCGTTTCCACTGTTCTCACCTCCCCTTGTCCCTTTCATGACTTGGCCTGTTCCGCCTTCAAAGGCGTAGAGTATAATAGATCCTGAAGGGCGACATCAAAACATAGCACTTCTTTCATCCTGCAGAATAATTGACGTGTTAGCGGGACCTCTCCGTGCCTATAGGGTGGCAGGTGAAAAATGTGGCGTGAACCCTCACAGGTGTGATTCCGGCCTACGTGGGGCTGCCTGTCACTTACATGACAGTTCCTGTATCGCAGCATCTTTCTCTTTCACCCTCCTGCAGTCATGTCTTAAAATGCCATGTGCTAACCTGATACTCAGGATGCTCACTGGGATGAGGATATGTGGTACTTTCATTTTTTTAAAAAATGTAATTTTATTAATTTCAGAGAGGAAGGGAGAGAGAGAGAGAAAAACATCCATGATGAGAAAGAACCACGGATCAGCTGCCTCCTGCACGCCCCACACTGGGGATGGAGCCCACAACCCCGGGCATGTGCCCTGATCGGGAATCGAACTGTGACCTAGTTCATAGGTTGACACTCACTGAGCCACTTAGCCGGGCAATACTTTCAGCTTGTTTGAAAGTTTACAAAGAATCCAAGTGTCCTCTCTGTACCTATTATAAACCACTAGAGGCCCGATGCACAAAATTCATGCAAGGGGCTCGGCCCTTGCAGCCCCAGCTTCGTCTGGAAGGTTGTCCAGAAGGACGTCCGGAAGGTCGTTCGGCTGTCTGGTCTAATTAGCATATTACGCTTTTATTATTATGGATGTGCATTGAGCACCAGCAATGGGCAACCTTTGGGCAGACTCAACCTCGGCCCTGGTGCAGCACCCAGCTTGATTGATGGAAATGCAATTTATCATTTGGCTTCCCTGGTGCTGTTTATTATTTTTTAAAAAGTTATACTAGATTCACTGATGTCATTCTTAAACTTTTGATATTATGTGAGAGCATTGGAGACTGGAGAAAGTTTGCCTACATGCTATATATTTTTGAGTTGTGTGCAGTACTTTGCAGAAAATTCTAAAGTTGTTATATCATGTCTTCTTGATTAACAGTTATGCTACGTAGAGAAATATTTCGTGCAGTCATAATAGTGCAAAAAAAAGTGAGTCACTTGGAAAATAGTCTCTTCAGGTAAGTTTATATCAATAATCTGATGTGGTTCGTGGTAAATTTATAATCCAGAATCCCCTGTTTGGCAGGCGCCTTCTTATAACAGAGTGTGAAAGACAATCCATTTGAACTGTGTTGCCCTGTCCGTACCATTCAAAATGCCTACTTGTTATCATCCCAAATTCCCGGATTACAGAACAGGGTGTGGATGAAATGTTGCCTCTTCCATGAATAAAAAGATATATTTTGAGCACACTGAACAATTTTTTAAAAAAATGATCAATACGCAAGAGAGCTCTATCTCATGGAGGATCCGCTCTGCTTAACGGAGAAGCGCGATAAACTCCATCACCTGGCCCTCCTCTTCCGTGGAGCGAGGCACACTATCAGCATTTTTTGGTCGACATGCTCAACACTCACCACACAGCTTTCACACTCCGGCGTGTCCGCCTAGTTGAGCGTACATCTCGCTTTTCTTCCACATTTTGCATTATGAATTAAAATGTCTACGTCTAAGGATAAAGGCTTCCATGCCAATGGGCTTCTGAGGCTTCGAATGTCGTGTTCCCTAAAATATACATATATTTAATGTATACATATGTGTATATATATATAATGTGTATATATATGTATATATATGTATTTTGGAATCACTGGGGACTCTCAAAAGCTGGTTTTCAAAAGTATTAATAGTAAGATTAGGTTTCTGTGTCCTGGATTTAAAAAATCAGGCATTTTTATCTGTACTATGAAAATACCATAGTCGCTTCAGAAATCAAAATATTTGTATTTAGATGATTTATGGACATGGATCACTAACGGGGTCAACAGTAATACAACCTGATGTAATGAAATGTTAAGATACAAATTTATTCCACAGACTTGTAAACGCACTCTCTTTAGGAACCTTATTTTAAAATGTATTCTTACATCACTGGAGATATATATATCAATTAATTATTGATTTCAGGGAGAGGGGGAGAGAGATAAAAACATCCTACTGGCAACCCAGGCATGTGGCCTGACCAGGAATCAAACCATGACCTCCTGGTTCATGGGTTGATGCTCAACCATTGAGCCACACTGGCCAGGCAAGATTTGTTTCTTATAGCAATTTGGAGACTATAATAATTCAAGATTCATTAATTAATTTCTCCCTTTTTTGTATACTGAAAGGATTTTTCTAAAGCTCAGAGTCTACATACTGAACAATGATGGCAACATTTATTTGAAGTGTGGACATTTTTTTAAAGCTCATACTGTATCCAATTTGGTTGTCTATAGCTGCTGCTGTTTATAGCACGGTTGAGCTTGAACCATGTGAATGCTTAGAAATGTCGATGGTGGTAGCTTTATTCTTTTAACCAGATGCATTTGGTTAAGAAAAATAAGAGGATGTTAAATAGTTAAAGCCAGAAAAGAAAAAAAGAATGGTGACGTGAAGACATTAAAAATGCTCCCTTTCACACCGCAAGGAGAAAATTGGCAAAAATTGGCAGAACCAACTTTTTTCAGAACGGTGGACATTAACCAGAGGCCCGCGGCAATCCAAGGGCTACTTGAGAAATTGCTGACTCTCAGAACAGTAAGCTTGGTGGCATTTCAACTTGCCCTGTTTCCATTCCCTCCCACCCCTTTTCCAGCTCTGTTGCACCCTGCAAACAACAGCCCACAATCGAGGTAGAAGCCACAATGTAGAAGCCACTGGAGGGGTGAATGGGGTTGGAGCTTTTTCAAATTCTGCTTCCCAGAGAATCATCATTATTTGACTTGTCTGGTGGCACCCTGGAAGACCTCCCTTGCAAGTCTGTCTTTATTTTGCCTGATCAGAGTTTGTCAGATGTGAAAAGCTTTTTTCACAGGGACACCGGTTGAAGAAGGGAAAAAATCAGAGGTAGTTGTGGCTGCCCGAAGCAGTGAATAAACATCGGAGCAAACAATAGGCTAACCAAAAACTTGAAAGGAAATGCTGAGGAATGAGATATTTGTAGGGGCTTGGTACAGCTCTGACATCCCTGGGATTTGCATGTGCAGGCATATGCCTAGGGCTTGTCGCAAGCCAAGGGTGGCATGTCTGATGAGGAACGGCCTGTGAGCATCATCATTTCTCACCTGACATTGACCTTGAGGATTTGCACAAGCAGAGAGTAGAGCAGAAGGCAGAGCAGCCAACTTCCTGGCCGAGTGTTGAAGGGTGTTCCAACAGGCACACACACCCTCCACGAAGACTGGGGGAGTTACTGGATTCAGGTGGTTAAGGAAATCCCTGTCCAATTATTCATTCACCACAGAACTATCTGAGCAAGACATCGGTGTCTGTATATCACAGAGAATGCAGGCTTTCCAGAATGAGTTCAGGTGAGTCACTCAACAGACAAAAACCAGCAACTACATCGAACCCTTGGCAAAGGGGGGAAGTCAATCTAATTTTCAGAGTTACCCCTTATTATTTGAAATACCCAGTTTTCCTTAAAAAATGACAGACGTGCAAAGAAACAAGAAAATATGCCCCATATTCAGGGAAAAAAGCTGTCAATCACCTGTACCTAAAGGAAGTCCAGAAATTGGACTTTGTAGACAACAACTTTAAATCAGCTATTTTTAGATATGTTCGGAGAACTAAAGTATCAAAATGATGCCTCACTATCATTTATTAGTTAAAAGATATGTTATTTTAAAATACAGAAACTCCATAGTTGAAATACAATAACTGAAATCAAAATTACTGAGAGGTGCCCAGCCTCAGATTTGAACCAGCAGAAGAAAGAATTCGCAAACTGGAATGTGGGTCAATTGACATTCTTTCATTGGAGGAACAGAAAGGAAAAGGGACCAAGGAAAATGAACAGAGCCTTAGAC